TGGCTCCCGCTCTAGGCTCCCACTCCGGCTCCTGCTCCGCCTACGCCCCATTCACACCATACTCTAGCCACCACCAGTGATTGACCCCGGGGGATCTGAGATCATCTTCAGCTGCAATCGATCTCATCGCTGCAAGTGTCACTGCCGGGGTCAACGCGCCAAACAAATAAATAATTTTATTGTATTAATTGTGTCTTTGGTCTCTTCAGATTGAACCTCTGGATGGCCGTCCCCTGAAATGTTACAGAAAGTGCATACAGAAATTCTTCAGATGGTTTCTACTGCCAAATCTAGTCCCATATATGTTTCTTGTATGTTTAAAACAATGAGTTTTTTGGTGGGGCTCTGGCTACCTGAAACGTCCCACAGAATGACTTTAAACCCTTGTTCTACCTAAACACAAGCAGGTGACATCCGCAGGCCTAGTTACAGGTGCGATCCATGGAGAGGCGAGCCCAAGAAAGTAGATAACAGTTGCATAGCCTTAGGTAACAGGCTTAACCATTCCTTTTAGAGATACCCTAAACATTTTTTTACGAATGTTTTGCCTGGGGCTTGTTTTCCTCCCCACATTCATGTAGTTTATTCTTTGCCTTTCTCTTCACTTCATTTGCCCAGCTTTGTGCGGTTACTTCAAACATGTTCTCTGGCTTTTACGGCACATCAAATACTGCAGCGACGGAGCGAAAGCAGAGTCTTAAATGAGCCGTGGCGAGACTGTTTCTGCAGCAGTCCATCAGAGTTTCCCAGCAGTGTCCAACATGTGTTTAATAGCAGGACACAGTGGCTCTTACGGCGCACAGGCAGCAGGTGAAGAGCCAGAGCAGAGCTTACCAGAGCCGGTCATGTGATGCGATCCCTCCGTGCGTGTTTGTCCACCTCTGGGAGCCATTGGTGGTCCTGTGAACCCCAAAAAGAGCTTCTGATCTCCCCATTGCCGGCTCCTGGTGTTTAACTTCTCCACATGCCTGTTTGGTTGAGAAAATATTTTGTGTTTTTACCTTCAGGCATAAGAGAGGGAAATGTTTGTCAGTCTTTCTTTATTCTTTTTTTCTCCGATGTCCACATGGAGATTGACATAATATTTTGTCTGTAAACTTCTGTAGCCAATGGAAAAGCGTGCTACTAAATCCTCAGGGCGCCCAAATCTTTCTGTGCGAGAGAGGACGACATGTGTGAGTATGTTTGATATTTAAATTGTGATTTGGTGGAAATGTAATAAAATTATAGTCCAGTGCAGTCTGATTATAAACCATGGACCCAATTTGAAGTGATGCAGAAATGACCTCTGGTGGATGATTTGAGGTATTGCACAGCTATTGCACTACTGTACAGCTTTAGGGCCACACCGATTAGAAACAAATATTTTATCAGACATTTGTGATACACTGAGTTGAATGTTGATTACCCGATATAAAGGGGCAAATCAAGGACCTTTGTGATTGCTTTCAGCTTGGATCTGAAGCCCTATTTCCACCAGCCCTGCTAAGCCCTACTCTACGCCATTCTACCTTACTCTACTCCATTCTACTATACTCTACTCTAATCTACTCTATCTCTCTACTCTTCAGTATCTGAGTAACCTACCAAAAACATAAAAAGTACCCTGGAAAGTGAAGTAAAGTAGAGTAAAGTAAGGTATAATGTAAATTAGAGTAAAGTTTAAATGAGTAGTGTAGAGTAAAGCAGAGTAGAGTAGAGTAGAGTAGAGTCGAGTCGAGTCGAGTAGTGTTGAGTAGAGTAGAGTAGAGTAGAGTAGAGTAGAGTAGAGTAGAGTAGAGTAGAGTAGAGTAGAGTAGAGCAGAGTAGTGTTGAGTAGAGCAGAGTCGATTAGCCGAGTAGATTAGAGTGGAGTAAAGCAGAGTAGAGGAGAGGAGAGGAGAGTAGAGTAGAGATCCATGAGTAGAGTAAAGTAGAGTAGAGCAAAGTAGGGCTGGTGAAAACATGGCTTTACACTGTGTTTGTTTTGTTTTTGTAAGATGGACATAAAACCTTTAGCAATTTAGCAGGTGAATGTATTCAGCCGCAATGAGCACTGTCCAAACATCATTCATAAGTACAGACAATATAACACATTAATCTGGACCCACCTGGGAGCTGAAAGGGTCATTTCCGGCAGCTACTACTACTACTACTACTACTACTACTAAGGGGAAAAAATATAGTAATAATCTGGGCCTCACGGTTGACTCTAGCATGACATTGTTGCTAGAGAATTTTACTACAAATACTACTACTACTGATAATAATAATAATAATAATAATAATAATAATAATAATAATACTACAACTAACACTACTACTACTAATAATACTACTACAACGAAGGAGCGTCTGTCATTTGGCTTATACCGCCGCGAGAGCACGTGAATGTAGTGTCGAGATTTGGCGCCCCCTTCTGGGGATGGCTGCAACTTGCAAGAATCCTGTGTTTGACTCAGATCATAGTCATTATTCTGTACGGTATGTTTCAAGACAAATTGTGGCTTACATGAAAAACGAAACCAAACAAGAAGTGCACATATAAACTTATTTATTTACAATTTCTGTACGTTTTTACAATCAATGAAATTCTTCAACTTGAATTAATGTTTTACGTGCATTGTGTATCTTGTGTACATATAAAACGTAGGATGATAGTAACAGATTGCACAGATTTAAAGTTTGGTCCAGCACATTACACACACACATACATACACACATACACATACACACACACACACACACACACACAGCCTATGACATGCACCACATTGTAGAACGTACCAAAGAATACCAGGGCAGACAAGCCATATTTTTTTAGGATCACAACATAGTTCCTATACAACCTATTTGATGTTCAGGCCTTTATTGGGCCTGTCCCACTGTTATAGCACCTATCCATGAGTTTCAGAATGACCAGAAAATAATCTAATATGAAACAAATCCGTAATTAATACATGTAACACAAAATGATAATCTATTCATAGTAATCCAGTAGCTCATGATTGTGGCCTATTGTGTTGCATAACATGTTGACAGGAGTTCCAATAATATTCTTTATTATATTTGACGGCACACAGATTTAATGATGACTGAGTTAATGTTTGGTGATCCAGTGGCACACACATGAATAAAGCTACAGCACACAACACGTTCCTACAAGACACAACAGAGAGTTTCACACACGTGAAGTCTGGGGACGCCTAATATTCTTTTTAAAATAATCGTTATATTTTTCATGAAATTGGCCAACACAGTCTGACACCAGAGCCTCGTCTTCATAGATGGAACTACGTTGTTACTATTATTTTTATTGATCAAAACAGAACACTTTGAAAGAAGACGTATTATATTATTTTTTGAGAATGAAATCAGGTAATAATAAATTCTATGAAATAATCATGATTTTGATTTACAGCAAAGGGTAAAATAAAGAGAAAGAAAGAAAGAAAGAAAGATGGACTGCCATAGAGCATGAACGAGCATTAGCATTGACGCTGTTGTTTGTTGATGACTATTGGAACTTTAGGAAAATATATAGTTGTTGATTATATAGAAGAAAAGTGCTCAAAAGTGTAATGTACAGACTGTGTTATATTATATCATATGTGCAGATGTGATTTTTTCATAATATTTAATTTAATATATATTTATAAAAACATTGATTGTTGTACAACAGTGGAGTCAACAGATTGTGTCAAAACAGAACAGTGCGACATGATACAGCTTTGCTTTGGCGAATACACAATCACAGTCCTCAGTTTGACGCAAATGTCCAATCAAAGACATTTATAATCCCACAATTTATATTTTTTCTAATAATTCATATAAATAATAATGATACAAATAATAATCTTAATCATCATCAATACCCAGTCAAACCAAAATAGCTCCACAAAGTGCAAGACAAAGGGAAAGTGCATGGGTCCTGCCATATGGAACAACACAATAATCATGCAATCATACACACGCGCACACACATACGCGCACACACATACGCCAACGCCCACACACACACCCACGCACACACACACGCTAGGCTAAGCTCCAGGCCATCACTCAAGCGACAGACAGCAGTGTGGGACAAGTTCCACCATTTCTTCAATCACCCTTTGTCTGCTTTACCAAAGTCTGAATTTGGTCCTCGGCAATAATCCTTTAGTGTTGGAACTTATTATGCAATAACTGCATATTTACGACACACTTTTGGTCATTACAACAAAGTAATTGTGGTTCTGTAAACACATTAGATCAAGTACAGCTAAATATATTTGCATAAATAAAAACAGTGACTGGCTAATGTCACTTTTGCAGAGATGATACAGTGAATACCTTTTCATTCATTTAATTGTATCAATTCCACATTTGGTGTTGACCAAGGATGAGTATAAGGCTCTCACTAAGTCTCCATGAATGTCTGTAAACTTAAGTCCAGGAGCCAGAACACTGCTGCCTATGGCTTATTGTCACATGACCTTCTTCCAGCGAAGGTGCAGCGACTCAGGCCACATTCATGTGGCATAAACTGTACATCTCCAGGCTTTTGTTTTCACTGCATACGACAGTCCAACTTGTGTAAGACACACAAACACACACACAAACGCAGAGTTAGAAAATCATCGTCACACCAAACAGCACAGCACAATCAGTTGCTTTATGCATGCAGCGTGTCTACACACTTTACTCTTAGCTCTTGTTAAAGGGCCCTGAGGCCTCGTCTTTTTGCCTGACAGAGCTCCAGTGTTAGAACCAGGAGTCGACATCTTTAGTGCTTTTCAGGCTTTTGTGTTTGACTGACATATTGTATTAAAATTATGCACATGGCTCACAATGTGGTCAATGGTGAGTAGATGGATATTTACAGCAGCCAATCACAGATCAGAGATCAAGGCGAGGAGGACAATGTCTTTGGAGACGCCAGCTTGGCACTGCTTCATCACAGTGTGTATAGTCGGAGAGGATGGGAATGTGCTGTGCTCCCCGCTGACCATCCCACCTCCTCCTCCTCCTCCACCTCCTCACTGTGTGGGAGAACAGTCGTCTAAATCCAGCAGCTCGCGGACCAGCCTCTCTCCAAACTGTGCCCGGCTGTAGCGCTTGGCGGAGTAGGCGTCGGACATCTTGTAGAGGATGTACGCGTTATTGATGGCGATGCTGATGCTGAGCCAGAACACCTGCTGCCATGTTTTATTAGGTTTGTGGAAGATGAAGTATCTGAGGAAACAAAGTCTGTTAAGTTTGTACAAGGAATGAAGCATAAAACTGTTAAATCTAAAACTTGAGTCACACTATTCTGAGGTCAGGTGAGCCTCCATCACTGAAAACTGTATTTACAAACTGCTACTAGGGTGGGTGTGGAGCCAGGTGTGGAACTTGCAAATTCATGTCTTGAGTGTTCATACTTGCTGTACTTGTCGTCATATTTGCAGATGTAGCTGAGGTGAGCCGCAAACGCCTCTACTGCGAGAGGACAAGGGATTTCTCCACTCTTCCTCTTGATGATCATTCCTGTAATCAACACAAATACAGTGTTAGCTGCAGCAATGTTACGGAGAGTAAATTAATCATCATCAAACTTTATTACAGACCAAGGTCAAGGAGAAGACACATCACACAAAACAAAAAACAACAAATATTATAAGCAACAATAAGCTTCAGAGAAAGCGGTCTCTCTACAGTTCAGACTGGTACCAATGTCTCAACAGTTCCAATTGGTACGGCTTATGATTATAATGTTCCATCTGTCATTGAGCCGACAGAGAAAACTGTACATCAGACATCGCCTGAAACGTCCTTATTCTTGTAGACACAAACCATGGATCTATTATAATTACACAAATAGAGTGCTTCTTGCATCTTGACTTACTCATTAAATCCTCAGACAGTCGTTTGCCACTTTGAGTTTATGAATAGATGCTTTGTGTATATTGTCCACAGGTGTGCTGTGTACAATACTGTACAGAACACTTTAAAAACCTCCACTGCACAAGCACCAAACCTGGACACGAGTCTGAATATGTCTTCATCCTCAGACGTGTCATCACACGTAAAATGGCCTAAATTTGTACAATCTTTCGTTCTACATAACATTATCAAACTTGTACTTGCTTTAAGCCTCACACCAAAATCTACACCATACTTAGCAGACGTTGAGAAAATCCTGTAGACTGAATAGATCATCTGCATACATCACTTGAATTGACCCAATCACACATCCTGAATTCTTGCCATTGTATGTAAAACGAAGTTACAATCTAAGAATTTGCTTTGGCTTTTCTTGCATTCAATTAAAATACAGCAAAGCGGAAATAAATTCCAAAACGCATATATTTGTATGACATTGAGACACTATTTCTAGCTCAGATTTTTTTGTGACCTCATTTAGAAGACATTGCTTGACTCATAAAGGCGACAGAAAATCAATGATGTCTGATCCGATCCGCTCCACTTCAAAACCACCGCAGGATTAAACTGTGAGTAAAAAAAACCTCTTTTGTTTTTTAGACAAAGACATGTAACAGGAAAGTGATTCCCTTCCCTGTTACAAACAAACACAGAGACTGTTGTGTTTTTTGCTCTGCCTCCCTTTCAGTTTTTCAGGGCATGTGTGTGTCAGGGGCGTGGCTGGCTCCCCTACATCTGTGAGGCTCAGACCTGTTCCATATTCACTCATCACGTCAGCTTTAAGACTCTGGTGCAGACCTCACATCTCTGCCAGATTATTCCATGTCTCACGAGTCTGAGTACCGTGTTAGTGTGTGAGTTTTTTTCCAGCCTGTTTTTGTATTTCTTGCTTACAATTTTTGTGTCCTGTGTTCAGGTCTGCCTTTTACCGACCAGCTCTCTGTCTTCTCACTGCCTGCCTTCAGTTATGTTTTTGGTTTTTATAAAGTACATTTCTGGCTTGGATGGAGACTCCAGCTCAGTGAGGGCGTGAGCTGACATGCCTGTAATCTGACATGCCTGTAATCTGACTCCCTGCCTGTGGTGGTGTACCCGGAAACAGAATAATCCATTGAATTCTTATGCTGCTTTTTTTCCTCTCAAAAACCTCTTTACAGCCTGGTCCAAAAGTTGGCTCTTGGCTCAATTCTACGTTCCAGATGCGTGTCAATGCTGAGGGGAGTTTTTTTTTTTTTTTAACCAGCCTAGCCCAGTTTAGCGGCTGTGGACTTCTGAATGCACTCGTTAAATGAATGGCATGTATCCCGGCTCGTGCCGGCTAACGCATGTGCAAAAGTGTCTTTGCATCATTTTCTTGCGGGAAGGGCTGCTCGGGGCCATTTTGAGAAGGTCAGCAGGAGGGAAAAGAGATCACACATATGTTTCAGCGGCGGAGATAGGCGTCACTATCTAATATGTATTTATGCTCCAGCCGTGTCTCTGTTTTGGTGTCAGTCCAACACGCAACCGTAACAGAGACTCTGGTTTTATTTTATGTTTAAAAAATGGAGAACCTGAATTTTAAACCACATAAGTGTAAAGTTGGTAAATCCATAAGAAATGTCCCTAGTTCTTATACATCCTTTATAAATATCAGAATATAAACAGATTTATTCCAAGCCTTGAGCACCGAAGAGCACCGAACAGTGAAACAGAAGAGTACCTTGCTTAGTGGGCGAGTAGGCGTTCGTGAGGAAGCGGAAATGGCCCTTGTTGTACCAGCTGATCAGGGACAGGCCGCCCTTCATCATGACACGGGACTGACCGCGCTGCGCCCCGCTGGAGGAGCAGCTCAGCATGCTCTGGGGCAGACCGGTGCAGTCGCTCTTCCTGGTGCTCAGAAGACCACAGCAATACACATCTGCACACAGGGAACATGCTCAGGCGATCGCCCTGTTGATCAGGCTGTTGGGGTTTTACAGTACATCATAATAGTCTGATGGTTTGCATTGAGCAGCTTTATAGATTTAAGATAAACTATGTTGCCATATTTTAGTGGTGGAAACCACCACACTGGGAGAACATTTAAGAAAACATACACACAGGGAGGCCCCATCTGGGGGTGAAAAAAACCCCAGAACCTTCTTACAGTGAAGCACAAGCGCTAACCACTGAACCACCGAGCCGCCGCAGCTCGGTGGTTCAGTGGTTAGCGCTCCTTTTGTTGTGGTAATGTCCAAAGTTTACTGGAACATTGTGTTTTCTTCTCTCACCATGATTTTAATGAACATAAATGGAATTTAGTGAGAAAGATCAAACTCGTAAAACAATAGTTTGTTCTCCAATGTACACGATGATGTCGTCATGGCGATGACTGAACAAATATGAGCTGCCCAAATGTTCTTTTATGATGTGCTTCTGCACTAAAACAATCCTGCTGAGATTTTTGGGAGTGATTTCTTTATAAACACTAACAAAAGGCAACTATCTATCATAATTAATCTGACAAACTTGGGGGAACAAAAAACAATGTCTCCACCAGCTGTATTCATCTGAGCCTCGAGGCTGACACATATTCAATGTTGTCTCTTGTCACCAAACGTGGTTTGATAAAATGCTCCAATTTCAACAGAAGAACATTGTCCACGTCTATTACAAGAGTGACTTTGGAAATGACAGCTCAAAACTAACCATATTAATGCAAGGTCATGTAGAAAACACTATAAATCTGACCTTGTTTGCTGAATTCAGAGAAGAGGTTGAGGTTGGTGATGGACGGCCCGGTGAAGATGATGCTGTTTTTCCCGGAGATGTTTTGGCACAGCTGCTTGGCCACCAGGCTGTGGAGCTGAGGCTTGTTTTTGAGCGCACACAAAGCATCGGTTCCCTGTCCATCCTTCAAGTGCACCGAGATCTGCCACACACAAGCACACACCTTCAGGGTTTAGCACTGGATCAAATATATGTGTAAGTGTAAGTATATTAATAACAGGACTGAATTTCAAATGATGATAAGATAAATACAGAATACACCAGTACGCACAATTTGTCATGGGTGTGTTTAGGGGACTACACTGTCCTGGTTCCATTTAAACAAAGAACTTACCTAGTTAACATTTTAAACGCAAATGAATTAAATCATCAGAGACACATTAATCTTCTTCCCCTTAATCCATTTCCAGGTCAGGGGGGTGGCAGTCATAGCTGTTGCACCAGCCCCTGACTGATCTTCCTGCAGGTGGTGAGTCCACAGGAGCCTTCATCTTTCAGCAGGAGCTTCAAGCAAAGTGGGATTAAGTGTCTTACCCAAGGACACAACGATAGCAGACATCAGTGGGAGTCGTGAAGTAGGTCTTATGGTGGGCTTGAACCAACGACCTTCAGGCCCAAAGGCCAATGCTCTACCAACTGAGCCACTGTCGCTCAGTGATGCTCTAGATACATGTGAAACTGTATTTAGTGCATCACATTTTTATAATTATCATGATTATGGATCACACTGTTTTTACAAGCTGTGAGCCAAAGATCCACATCACAACAAATAAAGCCTTAATATGAGTTTCACTTTGTAAAGAAAATTGCAATTCCTCAGAGTTCACCTGCATTATTTATGTATTGCTAATGTGACATATATAATGTAGTCAGATCTATCATGGAAATCCATCTACACGTTTGAGCATGTTTGCATTATTCTTATTCTGCATATATGATGCAGTTTACCTTGATGACAACAGAAAATTATTATTGCTTTATTTACTGGAGAGAATCAAGTCACCTTTAACTGATGGTCCATAACAATTGAAAATGTGCAAACACAAACAGTGAGTGTGTATCCCTGGTGCCTCTCCAATAAGCTGAATGGTTTTAGCCTGATTAGCTACATCAGGCTTGTGGCTATTACACTAAAAGGCTGCATGTGTCACTGTGTGTGTGTGTGTGTGTGTGTGTGTGTGTGTGTGTGTGTGTGTGTGTGTGTGTGTGTGTGTGTGTGTGTGTGTGTGTGTTTGTGTGTGTGTATGTGTTTGTGTGTGTGTGTTTGTGCGTGTCTATGCATGTGTGTGGCTACAAATGCCTAATGGAATCCCATTGATTCACTCCATTAACTCGCCTTATATCTTGGTTTTTTTTCTTCTCTCCCTTGACACAATTCATTTGTAGTGATAAGACAGCAGAGCAGAGACACACAGACTGGTAAAAAGACAGAGTGGTTGTCAAATGGCACAATCAGTGGGAGGGATAATGTTTAAATGGAAGCTTTTAACACACAACGAGAAGTTTCCTGATTTGAAAGCAGGCTTTAAAGTTATGAGAGCTCTTGGCTGCTTTTAAAACATTAAAAACTGCAGTATTAATATGTGTACACACGAGAGGTCTCATTTAAGACGTTCAGGGGGCAGTTTGGGGCAGTGTTGGTCAAACTTTGACTTTGTGCACTGCCTGAACACCACCCTGACCCCACATACAAGAAATTAGCTTACTTTCAATACGCACTCATTTAGGTACAATGTGACTCACTCTTTTCTAATGGGCTTGATACTCAATAGAAGATCACACACACATGAATCATAGGTGAACAACTATTGAGGAAAGAACTAATGTTGTCTCATTTAAAACTTATAATTTTCCAGTATTTGTTAATAGTACAGTATATACACGTTTTGATACTAGTTTCAGTTGTAGGAGTAAGAGTATCAGCTTCATTTACAACCCTTGCTTATTGCTGGCAAACAATCAGTCGACAACAGCACGTCGACAGAAACGAAGAACAGTTTTCAGTGTTTTAGATGCAGCATGTGTGTAGGCGGTTTGATAGAAAGGCTGCACAAACGTCTCTCTCTATTGGCAATATATAAAAATATATTTTCTTTACATAATCTCTCTTTGCAGAAATCTGCTACAGTTCTAGTCAGATTCCAGCCTCAAGGACATGCCATTGACGTAACCCATGAAAGAAAAAGTGCAGAGGATGTGGTTTAGTGAATTATGGACTGTGTGTGTCTCTGACTAATGACCTCTGTAATGGTGCACAGTGGACAGGTCTGGCTGTCCTGCAGCGCTGGCCTTAAGTTAAATGGGTGTTATGTAAGTAAATGGCGTAGGAGAGCAGGGTGGTTTTAAGGGCAAGGTTGCTATTGAATGTCTCTGTGGAACAAATGCATTCAATTGAAGAGTACAAAGTTGTTCTCTGTATAACACTGGGGAAGGCTTATCAGAAAAATCATTGTACTTTTTGCCTAGCTTCTCTAAAACACATTCTCAAAGAGGAAGTGTATCTTGAAAGTTGTACCTGACAAATGAAGCCAGTGGACGTGCACTGTCGCACCCACAGACTGAACTTCCTCTTCTTTCTTTTCCTGAGCTCGCGCTCGGTGCAGGTGGTGATGAACACCGGGTCCTCGTCGATCAGAGGCTCATGAAGAACCTGCACGTTACAGAAACAAAGACACAATCAGCTCAAAGCAAGTGCAAGCATGATGTAACCAGGGTATAAAACTAACTCTTTGTAAAGTTGGACAGACTGAGCTGTCTGTAAGGCTGGCAGTCTGGGGAGTGGAGAAACGCTGGGTTGAGGTTTGTTACTCTCCTTGACACTTTCCCCCTGTAGTCTCTTTGTTTACAGATTTATGTATCTATCAGACTATATAGATTTAGACTTATTACTTTGGGAGGATATGTCTTTTTTAATATGCCCTCTGAACTTTAAGATGTAATGTTCAACAGTACTTTTTTACAGTATGGGCAGTTATTATTATAGATCCATGGTACGGGCCCTATTATGTTGTTCAGTTTTCTTGTCTAAATATTTATGTAGGTGAATCCATGACATTTTTGACTTTTGATCCCATGTACTTTGGGTTACATTAGACTGCTGACAAGTGCAATATAATGTGTTTACTATAGTGCTGAATTATGTTTGATATTGTAATATATATAATAATAATACCATGTCTTGCCTCATCTCTCACCCCTAAACACTTTTACAAATGTGATGTTTTTTATGTCTGGAATGGATTTATCCAACCAGCCACAAATATTTGCATTTCAAATATTTCCTCCTCTTGTGAGTTCCTTCTGCTCATGGAGAAAAAGTGGTGTAATCAGTTCACCATAAAAATGTCTGACTCTATACAGGATAAAAGCCATTAATTATTAAAGGAATCATTAATACCCATTTCATATACACAACATACCATGACTTCAAGCCCATAACTCCACCGCCCAAAACACATTAACCACTCTTAGAGACACAGGGCAGGATTTGCCTCTATGTTAACATTCTGAAACAGCAATGTGTACGTACAGACCGAGAGCTGTAACAATAACAGATTTTAGTAATCCATTAATATTGTTTTAAGACTCAAACAGAATTGTTATGCTAAGGAGAGGGACAAATCTAAATCTATTATTTTAGAAAAATACTTCCTTTACATACCAGTGCCGTGCCCCATGGTCAGAAATATACTTCTTTTTTTTTTTATGAAATACAATTTAAAGGCCCAAATCAACTTTTATTTAACTTAAAAACTGCATAAATATTTTTCTCTACATCTTCTGGTCAATTGTAGGCGGTGTAAAGCTGGACACTGGTGTTCAGTTGATCTTTAAGTTGCTGCAATCACCTTTATTGGATATGTATGGATGTTTGTTACGACCCTGTGATGTTGCTAGTTCAAAAATATTTAAAGAGATGCATTGCTGCCCTATTTGCAGAATTGCCAGCTGAAGTGGCATGTGGGGGAATGACCTACATAAAAGTGGGGACTCTTGGTCATATTCCCGGTCTATAAACAGGATTAGATGTGAGTCCAGTGTCTCTGCTGCTGCGAGCCACATACCTGCGTCTGCGAGGGCCTGAACGTGCAGCTGAACGACTGCTGCAGCGAGTCCAGGAAAGGCTGGATCTTGTACAGTCCCTGGTTGCTCCCCTGAGATGGCCGGAAAGCCACGATGTGAAAGTATTTTAGGATCTTCTCGAAGCGTGACTGGCTCATCTTCAGTGCGATGCTGCGGTTGCTGAAGAAACCTGAGCTCCAGATGCTCAGCACAGACTCACACCTGTGCACACTGGTGGAAATGACAAAACCCAGAAACGCCTTCATCTCCTGCGCAGTGACCGGACGCCAGCCCTCGTCCGAGCCAAAGCGCTCTTGGAACTTCTTGGCGTACATATTCGTCTGGGTGACCATGTTCTGGATGCAATTGTCCGGTACGAAGAGCTGGAAGAAGTCCAGTGCAGAAGCACTGTCTGGCATTTTCTGAGCAGGACCTGTTAGCGACAAAACAGATAGAGACGAAAAATATTATATAGAGAATCTCTAAATCTAAACAGGACTAATGCCTTTGGTTTGACAGCTTATAAAAAGTTGGTGACAGCACCAAATTGAATGTTTGTCAAGCTGTCATTCTCAAGGCTGTGTGGGCTGCATTCAGGCACGAGCAGAATCAAAAATAACTGTTTTTTCTTTTTTTTCACTCTTCAAAACACAACTTCATATCTTTGCAGGGAGCTTGTTTACTCATAAACAAAAAAATCAAACTTATATTTTTGATACAGCTTAATACAGCGTAGTAAAAAATCAAACAAGATACAGAAGTTAAATTTGAAAAATACAGTTTGAAAAGGGGATGGACGAAGCAAATGCTTATTGGGTTCTAACCCTAACCCTTGTTAACACAATACACACACACACACACACACACACGCACACGCACACGCACACACACACACAGGCCCAAAACACTCTGGTTTTATTCCATGCACAGATCAGAAGCACATCCTGTATTATTGTCTTAAGCCCAAGGCGAAGGTTACAGCGTTTATACAGAGTGACAGCTAACACATTGTCACCACATGGACACGGCATGGCATTAAACGCCCTTCGCTCCTCTGTCACTTTCACTTCATGAAGCGCCGTACGGCAAAAAAACATGTCAAACAATCAGGAATATGTGAAAGTAGGTTTTCCCATGCACAGCCTTTTAGAAATATACATATTTATTGTTATATATTGTTTCAGAACATTTCTGATTGGAATGGATGCTTAGTTAGACACTGCAAAAAGGATGAAATATTACGTAATAATTGCTTGAATAAAGTAGTTAATTTGAGGACATTCTGAAGTCATTTACACTTTTTCAAGAACTGTTGAAAAACCGGTAAGTACTGTTGATACAAGGGAGACATTTCTTCTATCTTTTTAAAACAAGATCATTTTACTTGTCCCATTGGCAAATCTTGTTTTCAGGCAGTCAGAATCTGCTCTAATTAAGACACATTCTGCCAAATTTGTGCACTAATTTTTCATCACTTTCTGCTGTCAGAACAGTTTGTACTCCATAATGTTCTTGACTTTTATCAAACTGTAGTAACACCAATCATGTCACAACAGTTTACACAAAGTGAATCCAGGCGAAATGAGTCCAGCATATTTATATTCTAAGTACATTCCACAGCAGAGGAGGTTGAAGCCAAGATAGAGAACAAGATGGCACTTAGTAAATGTATCCACAACTTCAGATACTTATTTGCATTGTATAATCTTTGAAATATTCAGCGTGACTTCCACAGAGGAGAAACATTTGGATAAAACTCGATCTAAAAGCAACTTGGCTAAAATTCAACCATACATATTTCTGGGCATGGTTTATCTGGTGCATACTTTATCTTAATTTAGAATGATATATATTTAATGATAGTGGTCTAAACTACAGCCTCAGTCCTGGGTCTACAGCCTCAGTCCTGGGTCTACAGCCTCAGTCCTGGGTCTACAGCCTCAGTCCTGGATATACAGCCTCAGTCCTGGGTCTACAGCCTCAGTCCTGGATCTACAGCCTCAGTCCTGGGTCTACAGCCTCAGTCCTGGATCTACAGCCTCAGTCCTGGATCTACAGCCTCAGTCCTGGGTCTACAGCCTCAGTCCTGGATCTACAGCCTCAGTCCTGGGTCTACAGCCTCAGTCCTGGATCTACAACCTCCGTCCTGGATGTGGATAGGGAAGTCTTGGGCGTCTCTGCTTAGACTGATGCCCCTGTGATTCGGCAACGGATAAAGTGAAAGAAAATGGAATAAAATGGCAAACACTGTGCAGAATGTGACCATATGTCTCTGTTGTAGTCGATATTATAATAGATCCATGGTTGTAGTACGTTTAGGTCAAAGCACTATTGTTATTGTGAGTACGAACTGACGGTATTTGTATATTGAAAAATAAAAGAATATTAATTTATTTATACATGTTTAAGAGAACATTTTGTAATTTTCATGTTTCTCTTTCACGTTCCAATATTGCATTACAGAAATGAAACTTATATTTTTTTAAAGGGCTATATTATTAGAGTAAAATCGGTGCACTTAAAATTCAGAACACACTGGGATTCTGGAGTTCTGAAGTAGTTCCAATGTCTCAACGGCAGCGGAACACCACAGTCAAGACTGCTATAGGATGGAGGTTAAGAAATTAAGTCAGATACTTTGATACGAGACGGGTTTACGGTCGAGATACAGTTGGATACAAAACTACTCACAATAAGCCATTCGAGTTTGCTCTACTCTACAGAAATGGAAAGTTCATACGCATCCCCCATGTTTTTGCCTCGTAAGATTGACATTAACTACAAAGATGAGGTCTGCGAGGTGTTTGAGCTGGCCAAAGAAACATGGTATGGAAGCCAGGTTGTCGAAGGTGCAGAAAGATGGCCCAGTCCATAACGCCATTTTCACCTATCGTCTGACAGTCGGTGACTTTAGTGCAGAAGCTAAAGGACCCACCACTTCAGAGGCTAAACACCTTTGTGCTCAACAAGTTCTCCCAGAGCTGCGTCGTCTTCCTCTTCCACCGAACGAGAAGAAGAAGAAACGCACTGGTGTCTGCCGGAGAGAACTTCCCACCTTCAAAGACAATGACAACCCCATATCTTGTCTTGATATAATCGTGGTGAACATGAAAGGGATTCTTCCCAAGTACACGATTGTGGATGTGGACAAACAGTTAAAACCTTGGATCTTCTACGTCCAGGTTACAGTGGCGGACGTGACTGCGGTGGGACTCGGCGATGACAAGAAGGCCGCTAAAAGGAATGCGGCTTCCAAAGTTCTCAACTCGTTTGGGTACAACTTTGTAGTCAAGGAGCCAGAGCCAAGACCCAAAGAAGACCTCAAATCTCAACAGCTAGAGACTGATGTTCTTGAGGAGGTCCCCAAGGTTGACGAGCCACAGCAGAACCAGGAATGTTCTGTAGCTCAAGACGACTCCATCCAGACAGAGGAGATCCAGTCCCCAACAGAAGACACATCTGCTGACACTTCTGCTGCTGCCCAAGACGAAGCAGCAGAGGGTTTTCTGGATGAAATTGAGGAGGTTCAGACACCACCTGAGGAGTTTGTGTATATAGAGGTCCTGGAAGACACTGCTACTGATGGTGTTGAACAGGCAGCACCTCTGAGGCACCAGGAACAGTCACCAGTACTCACACAGACTGTAAGTGAGGAGGTAACGGTTTGTGATGTTCCCCACAATGCCACACCAGAAATGTAAGGATGGAAAGAAGCAAGCACAACTCAAGAGATGAAGACTGATTTTCATGAGGAGCTGGACGAGCCACATCAGAACCAAGAATGTTCTGTTGCTCAAGACAACTTCTTTCAGACAGAGTCCCCAACAGACGACACATCTTCCCAGGCTTCCCACGGCTTCCCAGTGTCGGTCCTCTAATGATCTTTGGATGAAGCTCAACACTAGTAAATAAAATATATGCATAGCAATAATTTGTTTGTGTCATTGTTCTAATTTATCGTTTCGGTTTTGTGTCACTGAATGCTACATAAACATTGCATTCACAAACAATAAGTAAGGAATACATTTGTCATATGTTTGAACTTCTTACGTTTGAACCCAATAAGAATTCCCGTAAGAATGCACAATTTCCAAGCCTAAAACCGTCAAAAATCCATCAATTTTCTTCCGCTTTATCCATTGCCAGGTCACGGAGCAGCTGTCAGGAGGGTCTGAGGACAGTGGTGACGATCCAGGACATTTGACATTCAACGACATTGGTCATGTGCCCCTTATGTCTTTTTTATCATTGCATTTGCTGAGTTTGAACCTGTGCCTCAGTAGCTAATGGCGACCTTAGCCCTGGCCCACTTAAACCCAGCTAAATTGATCAGGACAAATTTAATATCTCCTCTGATTGGATGGTCTACCATGAAACTGTAAACATAAATATTGTGTATTTGTCCATTTAATTTTTCCCTAAGAATAACTTGTCCTATATAGGATTTCTAAATGTTGACCTGTTATCTACAAACAGATATATAAGAAGTAGATGTCAATTATATTGAAAATATTATATAGTGTAATATGTAATAGTACTTACATGTTGAGCAATACAAGAGCACTTTGAAAGCTTACTCTTTAGTTAAGGAGTCCTGCTGGCCATCATTACAGTGCAATCAATGTAGCATTAGCAGAAGAGTTGTGTAATTGTAAGTTATAAATACTGTATATACAGTATATAGTATGTGAAAATAAAGTTCATATTGTTAAATCTATATCTAGATTGTTGTATCTGGGCACTCAGTAATGTGAAATAGTGCTGTAAATCCAGTCGCCATTGTGACAGTTACATAATCTGGGATGCGGATCTAATCCTCATTATAATCCCATAGTCCCAAAGTAATCAAGGCAATGAGACTGACAATGTTGTCAATATGAATGTGTAAATACATGTTGAAATTGTATTTATATTGTAAACCAACAACCAACCTATGGCAAATACTGTATGATTGTATATGTATGTATATATATTCACATCAGAATCAGAATTATTTGTATTGCCATTTGTAAGTAAGAGGAAGTCACAAACCAGGAAGTTGCTTTGGCTCTTGGTGCAAACAAGTTATACAAGTAACAGTTAGGCATGTATATATAAAGACATCTTCATAACATTTCTTAAAAACACCACTACATACAAGTGTTTGTGTATACTGTAAGCACAGAAGACAACATAGCAAATTACAAAAGTATCTCCAAGTCAGTTTCTAACGTTACCCCCAAAGGTACAGAAATTCAGTTTCTGGTTCTTTTGGCTCATAAACACCTGGCAGACCCGCACTACCATGTTGCCGAGCTGAGACGGTGAGTCGCCGGTGAAGGGACGGAGGAAGCAAAAGCGTTAATTGGTCGTAGGTCCAGAAGCTGTGGGATCTATGCACACTTGAAGACAACTGTGTGGCACCCTAAAATGTTTGGACGCGTAGGGTTCAGAGGCTCGATTTTCAACCCCACTGCATTTGAGTTACCCACCCAGTTCCCTAGATTGCCTGCAGAGAGAAACTTTTCACAAGGTGCTGTTGCCCAAAGAAGAGGTTAACATGGCCCGTGAATTGAGTGCACATAATCCACGGTTGGCGAAGCTGCCCCCACTTGCTGACTTCCGTGTTAAGCTATACCCCCCCACCTCTGTATCGCTGCGGAAGGCCAGCCTTGGAGGATATTAAAGGTCTTCTACCCATGCTGGCCTCCAGTATCACCTTACCCCGAGTCCCACGCCCCCCCCTGAGTCCTTTTGTTGAGTTGGGATCTGTTGGAGAAACCTGTAACACCCGCACCCCAGAAGGTGGCTATCGGCGTTTAGATTGGATCCTCTGGAAAGCTGCCCAATACCCCCAGTGAAGCGGCATTTGACCCCTGGTTGAACCGGCCTGGCTCATGGTGGAGAGAAGTGAATGTTCGGACAGAGAAAAAACGCGACTCCAACTGATACAGTTTCCCGGGCCCGCCCCCCGAAATGATGGCAACGATCCAGTCAGAGCATTCACGCTCCCTGCACGCAATGTCCCCTCCCGCGGAGAGCTGCATGCATAGGACGGCGCGTGTTGGACGTGCATGAGTCTTGGCGATGGGTCCGCTTACATTTGTGCCCTTGTCGGTTAACTGCAACCGTAACCGCGTGCACAAGCTGTCGGCTTTTCTGAGGCGCTGGGGAGAGAGCCCTCATAAAAGGTGGTGCCAGCGAAGGAGGGTTCCCAAACTTTAGTCGCAAGACACCGCACGCGTGGAACACCGCTGTTACGAGGGGCCACCGCGGTTTCAGATACTTAAGCGTATCAATTTCCAGATGCCGTCTCCGTGAAAGAAAGTCCCGCAACCATCCCAACATCTCCGCCATTGCTAATCCGTGCAATTCGGCCACTGAGGCCGCGAATGAGGCGACCCAGCCGCAGACGTAAGGAACTATCAGTACAGCCCGTCCGGACCTGAGACCCATGTTGGAGCTGGAAGAGCCAGATGCGGAAATACAGGAGTATGGACAGATGCAAGTAAAAGAGCTCACGACCCCCACTCGCCTGTGATGACGCGTATCCCCTGCCAGCCAAAGAGACATACGGAGCGTCGTGCCTCACCGGTATCCACAACCCAGTCAAGTGAACACAGTGGATACTTTAATGAGCTTGGCTCGACTTTAAAGAACCAAGTCACAACGGCGTCAGCATCAATGTGGACACAAAAAGATGGCTGCGCCGCCAGACACTGTGTCGGCAATCGCCAGCAAGAGTACAAAAACGTAGAAGTTTGCACCCCCCCAGCCCCCAGCCCCTCCCCCCCCTCCCGCAGACCGACTAGCCACTCGACGAACAGTGTCTGCTTATCGTTTGTGGTGAACAAGGACCTTATGCGGGCTACGTGTCACACTCGCGGGGAAGCCCCGGGCCAGTTGAATCAACGGCACGCCATACCCGCTGATCACTGGGGACCCATGAACGCAAGATACCACGACAAGTACACTCCCCCCTGCCCCCTCCCTGCCCAGTCCCACCACCGGTTTGGACGCCCGACGTCCCACCCCCCCCCCCTGATGGCCAGTCCCCGAGACGCCTACATTGGGCCCCCCCCCGTGTTTGTATCCGCCTCCACGTCACTGGAACGCCCCTGTGACGCCCCTATTCGGACAGCTATGGAATCGCAGGTTCACCATAATATTTGAGTCCTGGTTTAAAGCCCCTTTGTTCTTCTGTCCCAGTGCACCCTGACTGGTCTGGCCCTTTGGGGTTTACGTGCGTCTACGTAAGCTACCCCCATACCGAGGTTATGTTGTGGTCGATTAGGTACCAGCAAGTAACAGGCAGCAACCAATTGTGACCGTTTGGCCCATGCACTGCCCCCGCCCCCAACGACGAACATGTTCCAGTCATTGTGGCACTCAACACAAGTCATGTGTCGGGGGGGGGGGCGGTGGGGGGCGGGTAGTGGGGGTGGGGGTGGGGTGGGGGGGGGGGGGGGGGGGGGTGGTTTGTGGGGGGGGGGGGGGGGGGCCCCCCCCCCACCCCCCCACCCCTCCACCCACCCACACCCCACCCCCCCACCCCCCCCCCCCACCCCACCCACCCACGGGGGGGGGGTGGGGGGGGGGGGGGGTGGGGGGGGGCGCGGGGGGGGGGGGTGGGGGGAGGGCCGGGGGGGGGACGCAGTTTGGAGCAGCAAGAGCCGAAAATGGTGTTGACCTCACCCCCAAACCCGTTGGGATCCCGGCCAATGGGTCAATGGAGAATGTGGTAAATGCAACCATGGACCCTTCCAGTGACAGATGACGTAGGTGGGGTGATCTGGGGCCCGGCCCCACCCCTTATCCCTACCTCCGGGAAAACGGTATGCAAATATAACTGTGACAGATCCACTTCACACACAGACCAGTTGGATCAAGAGCTCTATAATGGTCTGACTTCAACCCCCTTTTATATCTCCCCTGCCGGGTGATTTTGTTCTGCTGCAGCCATGGTTGTGCCTGCCCAAAGCAGACAGACCAACAGTTTTCCGCATCTAGTAGCCAATCCAATACTGGCAGAGCACCCCACATACCGTTGGCACGTCATAGGCCACATGTATCGCCCGTGAACAAGTGTCCTCTCAACTCCCCCCACCACGGCACAATGGCCATGAGTTGAGCCGGGCCATCAGATTGCCTTTTGTTATCACCCGTGCACAAAGAGTGACACGGCCGGCTTAGAAAGCAACTGGTTGAACCGCTCTCAAGACTTCTCCGGTCGATGAGAGGGATGATGGTCTGCAAAGATGAGGCCCCCACATACGTCTCTCTGACTCAAGCCCTTATCGTCCCAAGCATCCCGCCTCTGGCTAGCCGGCCATAGAAGGATGACAGAAAACATCTGCAAGAGATGCTGTGTGCTGGTCTCCATCCAGAGTCCCGTGCCCTTCTGCCTCACCGATTGTAAATCGTTCGGAAGACACCGGAACCATCGGATGTGCATAGACTACAGGCTTCTCACAGCAGCACGTGCCCGCCCAATTACATACTCAGCCTTAGCTTGAGCTCGATTTCACAGTCGGGAAGCCCTGGTTTACCCTGAGCTCCGATCTGCGCAGTGGGTACTCACCGCTTCCCTGGCAGAGGAAGATACAGAGCAAGACCGCAATCATCTGCCCGCTCGGCTTCT